CATCCGTTAGAAAGTAAAGAAACCTATGGATTTCTTCTTACGAATCGTTCGTACCTCTTACGTTCGTACGATTTATGATACGCTCCTTTGGTTGCCAGCAAAAACAGGTAATCTCGTTGAAAGAACAAAATCAAGCAAACCATCCAACTAGTTTTACAAAGTACTCAATACTCTTCTTTTACATTGAAATACGTATTGGGGAAACATTAAAATTGGAGAATATAAAATATATATAAAGATATTTATTATCCTGATGAATTATTTTTAATTTTTCTTTAAAAAAAAAAAAGAAAAAAAGATTTGATTAACTTTCCTATACAATTGTTGATTTATTTTCTCGTAATAAAAAATATATGATATATCGTCGATTTGTTTCCTTCGCCAAGAACTAAAGAAGAAGTAGAAGAAAAAAAAAAGAGAGAGAGAGAGAGAGAGAGGGGGAGAGAATTAGATAGAAATTTATTGTATAACGAAGTCGAAGGTGCTACCAAGTGGGAAATCTAAGGTCGATCGGAGATCACCCGTTAGAAGTGAAAGGGTTGGCTAGTATTAATCGTATCTGCGGGGTGAAAAGGCAGGTATATAGTGGCGGTAAGTAAAACCAGCACGGCTTTACCTACTAATAGGCTCAACTCACCTGCTTTCCTTTTACTGTATCTTGACCTGCGCGGTAAAACGATGGTATTTAGGTACTCCACTTTTGCTACGAAATTAAACGATTCTAATAAGATTTCTTAACGTTTATGGTCATTTGGTACATTGGTACTTCAACCGGAAATTGTCTATCTTGTGTCATTTGCTTTTTGTTAGAATCAACCATTAAAGCAAATTGGCGCGTGGGACGATAACTTTTCGAATTACCTTTGTTATCGGTATGATTCATTATTTGTGTATTCGAATAGCAGACGTTTCAAACTAAATCGTAACTCTAGAATCTAGGGAATAAAATTACTGCTGGACAATCATCGACTGAAATATATCTTACAGAGATAATATCCGCTTAGAATTAATACAACTCGAATGTTCACTGGTAAATTGATCTTATGCAGAAATCTTATGCATCTTATGTATCTAAGAGATTACATATATCCGATATAACTTACAAAAATTATATATAAAAGTATTTTCAAACAAATAAAGATATTATAGAATATATAAAATATTATTAATTGTTTTCGACAAAGATACGAAGTAATTTTTTATTGTTCTAAATACAAAACGTCAATAAATAATTATCCTATTTCTAATAGATAATAATCCTTTATCGGTTATTCATAATAGAATACAAATTTATACTTAAATTTATACTTTTATTCACGCGCATATATAATACATAATATTTTTATCATAAAGAAAAAAATTTAATCAATCTCAACAATGTCAATTAGTATAATCGATAAAATATTATGAAGTATGTCAAAATTAGGAATATCATTTGCAAACAATATTACCACCGCGTACCGACACAAGAAAAACGTATAGTATAGCTTGCAAAATTTACAAAAAAAAAAAAAAAAAAAAAAAGAAAAAAAAGAAAAAACAGAAAAAAAATAATAAAAAAATAAAAAAATAATATAAAAAATTCTAATTTCATTAATAAACAAAAAAAGAGAAAAAAAGATCTAAAAATAGTGAAAAAGTCATGATAAAAAAAAGAGTCGAGATCCCTGACATTAAGAGAACGATTGGTAATATCGGGATAGGTGTCAGGGCTACTATGTAAGTACTTCGATACAGGGAGTAAAAAAAAAAAGGAAAAAAAAAAGAGAAGGGGACCAAGGAACAAGGAGAAATAAGGAAAAAAAAAAGAAAATAAAAGAAAAGAAAAACGAAAAAAAGGACGTCTCCCGACGCGAGAACCACCGCGTCGAGAGACATTTCCCGCTTGTCACCTCCACTCGTCGCCTCGTTTTCACGTCCAGCTTGCCTCCTGCCCTCCCCCTGACCGCTGGATAACCGCATAAAAGTATCCCGTTACCACGGTAGCCCAGATACCGGATTACGGAGTACGAATTGTCAATCGTGTGCGACGAACGAGACGAGACTTTAAAAGGCCTTTCAAAGGTTCTCATGAGAGAAAAAGAGAGAGAAAGAGAAGATAAGCGATTACGATCAAAGGATATCATCTTGAACCATTTGGAAAATCAACGGAATTTGTGAAAGGGAAGGTTCTTAAAAACATTGACGTAAGAGGGTCGGAAAACATATTCATTGAATAGTATGATATTTAAATGTCAAAGTAGCAGGATCGTCTTCTAACTAAGGGTTAAAGTACTTACACGTCACGGATAAAATAAAAGTTAAAAGAATATCGTTTGAGATTAGGATCGAAGATGGATTCGATTCTAATTATACGAATCTCTCTCTCTCTCTCTCTCTCTCTTTCTTTCTCTCTCTCTCTCTCTTTCTCTCTCTCTTTCTTTCTCTTTCTCTTTCTCTTTCTTTCTCTCTCTCTCTCTCTCTCATTACTATCTCATATCTGTGATATCAGTAACAATAATAGAAAAATTCAAAGAAGAAACGAGAATAGTCGTTGTTGAGTTAGAAGTCGATAAGACTTTGTAATGTCGTAATAACTAAGATCGAATGAATCACGGGGTCGGTAATGTCAGGATCGGTAAATCTCAGTGAACGGAGAGTTTACATACAATTTTCCTTCTCTTTCTTTCTCTCTTCGGCGTATCAAAATTATAGTGTGTATTGTTTGAACTATGTTTGTGGTATCACTGAATAACTTTAAATGTTGTCTTCGTCATTTAAATATTCTAATATAATTTCTATACTTTCTTTTTTATTTCTTAACTTTCAAATTATTAAATCATTATTATTGAATAATTTTTATACATAATAATTGCTAAAATAATAATTTAACTACATGAATTTATACTAATTAACTTAATTCAATTAATCATTTTATTGTGAATTGGTAAAATGAGTCATTTATGTTTGATATATTTTTGTTGACACTCACATCAATGGATACATTCACGTCGTCTATATTATTTAAAATAATTTCGAAGCTCTTTTTCTTCCTTAAAATTTATTAATTAGTAATTAAGTCTTAACTATTACATGAATTAATAATAATTAAATCAATTCTATTATGAATTGATAAAATGAGTTACTTATATTTACGGGGTTACATATATCTAGATGAATTAAAAAAAAAAGGCAAATTTTTATAATTTTTTGCATCTTATTTATATTATTAATGAAAAATTATTAAATATGAATGAGTGTGTAATATGAAGAATATTTTCCATTGAAAAACTTAAAACAATCCATTATCTTCTTGTTATTGTCGATATCGAACCAAACGAAGTCGTTTCATACAGCTCCAACAATATCTCCTCAAAGTATTATCAGAATGAAAAAGAAAAGATAAAGTAAAGAACCAAAAAAATCAGTACTTCACAAAGGACTTGTAAGATTTTCATTTAACAAAAAAAAAATATGAGTGATTGAATTTTCCATGAGATTTTTGATAAAAAAAATAGTTTTTTAATGACTAAAAGGTAAGAAACAAATATTATGGCCTGAAAAACAAATGAAATGAGAAATAATCATTCACCAAATTTCATTCAAATCGATTCAATAATTTTTAAAATATCATTTCCCATAGATTTGTAAATATTTTCGAGATAACAACGTTAAAAGTTTAAGATAAATGTTATGTCGAACTCGTTAGGATCAATTTCGAACGGCTGTATCTTCGTGAATTTTAAGAATTTGCCCAATGAAATTATCACATAATATTTTTCTGTAAGGATAATAATATCATTAAATAAAAAAATATTTTTCTGTAAAATAAATTTTTGAAAACTTTCTAGGTGTACGCAAATTCCTCAACGTTTTTAAATTAACTGGTTGGATTCTTTAAAATGGTATCCCTATTATTTAAGATATCATTTTTAAATCTCTCTTTTCTACTTCTAACAACGTCTATGTTATAATTTTCATATACTTAACCATTTAATAATTTTTTCTATTTTTTTTTTTTTTTACGGATGAACGTGTAACATATCCAAGATCGACGAACTCCTTGGCATTTCGGCCTTTCGAATCCTCATTATGTCAAAGAATGTTAAGCGTTCTCCAAAGTGATATAGGTAAGTACGCGGTTCTCGGTCTCGCCATTTCTTTTTGAAATGAATATACCATGGCTATCGTATTCTATCCCGTTGCGGTTGTCAATCAGGATATCCGCGTGCGGTTAGAAATTAATTGTGCTCAGATAAAGCGAAAGTACATAGATAAAATAAAATAACAGGCGGTCGAAAGATTAGGTTAATAAACCGCAACGAGATTGAATAACAAAATTGTTATCCATGATATACGGGATACATGGACATACATGGACATTTATTACACTAACGCATTCTTCCGAAATTCTCTTGTACCAAATCATTTAATAATACATAATCATTTCAATTACTTCGACTTATTCTTTATAAATCAAAGAGAAAGTAAAAGAAACGTTATTACAATTTCACTCGAAATTAATTACTTTTTCATTTGTGACATTTCTACCTTTTCTCAACGAACAAATTATTGGGAAAATGTAATGAAAAAAGATGTCGAGAGAAAGCATGTTATATTCGTTCTCTATCTTCTTTTCTCTCTCTCTCTCTCTTTCTTTCTCTCTCTCTCTCTCTCTCTCTTTCTCTCTCTCTCTCTCTCTCTTTCTCTCTCTCTTTCTCTCTCTCTCTTTCTCTCTTTCTGTCTCTCTCGCTCGAACATCAATAAATGTACGTATACGTATATACGGTACATATACGCACGCTCCAATCGATCTCACTTGAATAGCCCGAGCGTTTCATCGATCGAATATTTGGCATATAGAATCTCACAGAAATCCAAGATATTCCTATACAAACCTTCCATCTATTAAATAAAAGAGATAACTGAAAAAAGGGAAATAAGGGAAAGAGAAGGCGGATCGAAAGAGACAAGTGATGGATCCAAAAAAAAAAAAGAAAAAATAAGGAACGGAAACTCACCCCTTATCTTGGTTTCCTGTCGATCGAGGGGCGTTATGCGCGGGTGGTTCTGCTGTCCCGGCTTCTTCAGCAGAACACCCACCACCTGTGGCGCCATCATCATCTCCACCGCCTTTTGTTTCTTCTCACTTTACTCTATCGGCTCCTCCCTTCTTCTTCTTCTTCTTCTTCTTCTTCTTCCTCCTCGCCTCCTCCGCCACCACCCCCACCACCACCACCGCCACCACCACCACCACCCCCCGAAAAACAAAAAATTACCCGTTCAGTCAATAGTCCACATTGTCTTTTAAATGCCTCCACACGATGGATAACAAAATTCAAGCGAGACTGAATCACGTTTAATAATAACGAATTAATTAACACACACATACACGGGTCACGAAATCGTTGCTATGGCGCCTCTAACCTCGAAAAATTTCATACGATTTAACTTCCCCACCAAACCATCATCACCTCCTCCTCCTCCTCCTTCTTCTTCCTTTTTCTTCTTTCTTCGTCGAAATAGCAGAGTACACGTAAAGAGAGAGAAAAAGATAAAATAATGATGAAGGTGAAGGGGGGAAGGTGACGACGTTCGTTATTGGTCGAGGCGACGGTTCGACGATCGAGAAGGCGCCGTTCAGTTTTTGCACTGTGTCTTTCCTTCGCTTTATAATATTATCGTTCTATGAGATTATTTGAAACTCGACAATAATAAGATATATATGTACGTATCTTCTACGTTTCGATTTCGATTATCATCATCATCATTATTATTATTGTTGTTATTGTTATTATTGTTGTTGTTGTTGTTGTTATTATTATTATACTATTATTACGTTGTCTTCGTTAGAAGACAAGAAAAAATGCATTCTCCTTCTTATATTATCAACTTCCACGAAACTAACAATAAGAGTTTAGTTCCTCGAAATTTCCTTGATCGGTCGTTTAGAAGATTCACTATTTGTTATGTTTTGGCAATGTAATCGTCCCGAATGTGAATCCCGAGAGAGAGATAAGAAAGTCTGTGTTTCTACGGTCTTTCTCTTCCTTCGTATTTATTAATTATCTTCTTTCTTTCTATCTTTATCTCCCTCCCTCTCTCCCTCTTTCTCTCTCTCTCTCTAACTTACTCTCTTCCTCGTTGAGATAGAATATATATTTTCGATATTCAGATGCACGAGAAACGTTCGTCACTGTTTACACAGGTGATACGAATGCACTACTATTAGCTTTCTACTAACACAAACATATATACATATAAACATATATACATATATATATATATGCATGTATACTTTTATATTGTTAGGAGGATTAATAGGAGAAACGTTTAACACATCACTATCACACTCCCACCTCATGAAATAATCGTGAGTCTTTGCACGAACCCCGTTGACATGTTTCGAACGTTAAATTGAAACACGAGAACCGTTTGATCGCGTGGCATCGAACAAATAATAAACAATAACATTAAACAACCAAACCGGCGCGCGTCCGCCGAACGACTGACTATGACTGACAAACGCTCGAGGCCCGGAGTGCATCGTGCCTACCCCTACCACCGCTCCTCGCGCCTCTCTACTGTCTATCCCCACTATTAAACAGCGTAGCTGCGCAGCTACTCTCCCTATTACCCTACGGATCGTTTACCGTGTTTACGCGCATCCCTTACCAGCCTAACGAGTAAAAAAACAGAGATTCTCTTGCCTCTTTCTTTTTCTAATCATTCTTTTTCTATTCTTTTTCTTTTTTTTCCCTTATCTTTTTCTTTCTTTAATTTATTCCCTTTTTTTTTTTTCTTTAAAGCATTGTAATATCCATGAAATTAAATTACATGTTTATAAGCTGTTATAAAAGAGATATGATTACAGAGAAAACAATATTGAAGTTTTAAGTATAACAAAAATGATTTTCTATTATTTGCGTGTAAAATTAAAAAGGATAATTTATTTTTATTCATTATATTCATTATCGTTATTCTTTTTTTTCTATTTTTTTGTTTTTTTTTTTTTTTTTTTTTATACTAACGATCTAACGTTAGTTAATGTTATTCTGGATGAATTCTTTTTATTTTTTATATACATCATGGATTAATAAATCAATTGATACTAATAATTTTGTTTATGGTTCAGATGATTCTTGACAAATATAATTAATGGAAAAGCGAAGATTTTTTTTTTTTTAGAGAAATATATTTTTTGTACCGTTTACGAAGACTTGCTCGTTGCCCAAAAACTAGTCAAGCTGATACGAGGAAAATGGACGAGATAAAAATGGTATTTATGGTGTGTTTCACTTTTTTCTTCTTTTGCTTCTTTCTTTTTCTCGGAAGCACTTTGTACACGAGCCAGTTAACTTACGTCAGAATCATCAATTTTTCGATTACTTCCACGTCTCGAAATCGTGATATATCATTGTACTCTCTCTCTCTCTGTCTCTCTCTCCCTCTCTCTTTTTACCATTACATCCATTTTTATTTACCCCCAAAGCAGAAAAGTAACTCCTCTCAAATGGATGTTTACCGATATTTACACAGAAGCTGTCCGCAAGCTGCGATGCAATTTTTCCATCCGATTAATCGCCAGAACCGTTTTTCTTTTTTATCCGTCGAGCATAAATGGGTTACACCCCGTATACTTTTCCCCTTTCATACGAAAATACTTCAACGTATCGCATGTTCCTTAATAGGAATATGAGTCAATAATCGAAAATGTTTTTAGAATCTAAGTTTAATATTTTAACCAGGTAGATACATATATTTACATAATAAAATTATATATATATATATATAATTTATATATATATATATATCCATCATTGATTCGAAATGTTTTTTGATTCTATCGAATTCTTGATAAGTAAAAGATATTTAAACTTTAGCGTGCGATAAGATTATATAGAACCATGGTCACGGTTCTTCATAGAAACTGGTATTACTGATGTTGGTAAGCGAAGGAAACGGCGAAATCGTTCCATTAAGATGAAATACCGAGGGAACCTGTAACGGTAATAGCGTTGGTTAATAGTATTAGCGATCGTAATGGTATTAGACGGTGAACGCTTGTATGCGTTCGCATGCTGCAGGATACAGGATATACGTGATCAAGCTGTGACGTTAAATCGTTTCGAGATCTATGACGACAATGCAAAAATGAAAAAAATTCAGTGACACACTTTCACTCTCCATCTACGATTACTATATACTCGCCACGTGATTCGTATCATTGACTGCTTAAAGTGCATATAAAATAAGGAATAGAAAAATTCGAATAGTAATGTTTCCTTATTGTTGTAATAATAATAATAATAATAATAATAATAATAATAGTAATAATAATAATAATGACGATGATGATGATGATGATGATGATGATGATGAAGATGATAATGATGATGATGATGATAAAAATAATAATAATGATCATAATTCGATTTCTCTTCGTTTCGATAAAATACATTTATGATATACTACATTACCCTATGTATGTTTGTGTAAGCTTGTGTATGTTTTTTATATAGGTGAAACGAGAAGAAAGTCACTAAACTTCGAGTAAAACGAATCGCATGTTTTGGGTTAAAGCAAGGAAAATTTCTAAGCAATGGCAATAAAAGTTTTGCTAGTTCCAACGACTAAATAGTCGGTACGTTTCATAGAAACATTATGGGGTGCATTTCTTTATCTCATCCCACAGACTATTATAAACCTTCGAAAGCTGTCACGACTCTCTGTCTGTTACTTTTCTTTTTTTGTCATCATGGGATTGTGCTACGGCGACGACATATTAGCAGGACCATTCTAACCTTGAATTATAAGGGGAAAACGGAAGAAGAATAAAGAAGAATATAAAATGATAGAAAGAGGAGCCTATTTTATTGCGGGGATTGGTGAATATGGGACAGGTGAAAAAATAGGACCACGCGTGTATGTGTGTGTGTGTGTGTGTGTGTATCGATACCGATATCAAGCTTCCTTGTTTGAATAGTTTTTTTTCATACTTCTATCCTTCTTTTTTTTTTTTTTTTTTTTTTTTTTTTTTTTTTTTTTTTTTTTTTTTTTATAAGAATGATTGAAATTATTTACCATTGAGATTAGTTGAAAAATAGACGTTGAATGATCAAAATGTAAATTTTGGATTAGTAAATTTTTTGTGTATAGGGAATTAATTTCTCCGATATTGTCACTATTTAGGTCAACCGAAATTTGTAAAAAAGATTAAGAAAAAAAAAATGCTTGATCTAATCAGATTTATCCAATATCAATAAATCTTTGCGAAAGAGACGAGAAGACTCGGTAGACTTTATTTACGATCGATCGCGCTCGAAGGTAGCGTGCCATTCGGTCGAGTGCGTCCAAACGAGATATTATAAACGAACGATGCACTGATCCATGTCGAGAGAACTTGTGTATGTATTGTCGAACAATGCTCTATAGACGTCTCCAATGTCAGTAATGATAGTCGTTTAATATCAATATTCCGAAGGCGTTCAACGACGACACAGAAATGCCGAGAGTTTAAACTTGATCGAAACCTATGCGAGAATCGATACCTCGAGTATTATAACCCGAACAAAATATTATATTTCACGAATTTATATCTCTCTATCTTCGCATGAACGAACGTGTGATATTTCTGTTATCTCTCTTCTGTGTATAAAATATGGATTTATTTGTCGATAAAAAAAAAAAAAAAAAAAAAAAAGAAATTAAAAAAAATTATAAAAAAAGAAATATGTATGAAAAAGAGATAGATACATAGATAGATACAGAGAGAGGGAGAGAGAGAGAGGGAAGGAGAGAGAGAGAGAGAGAATGGAAGATAAAATAACGAAGTTTTAAAAAGAGCTTCACTTTTATCTTTCACAAGCCAGACGTAGCATAGCGCGGATGAAATGACTTTTTCGAGGTATGCAATGCGCCAGAGTTCTCCCTGTTGGAGCTCCTGAAAATATCTCGACTGAGAGGAACGAGACGCCGGGCTGATTCTCGAATGCAAAAAGACGAGTCTTTCGACCGAAATAAAATTCGCCTCTCTACCATTGGCTCTCGGGTCTCGTTGCAAAATGTAGAACGCGTTGCAACGTGAGTACCTACGATCTTCGTAAAATTATCGTCGGCCGACCTGGTAATTTTGTTTGAAGCGATAAAAAAGAAAAAAAAACAAAATAAAGAGAGAGAGAGAGAGAGAGAGAGAGAGAGAGAGACAGAAAAAGGAAGGGGAAAAAATGTAAAATACGGAACGAATGAATGATAAAAGAGCAAGGAAATTTACGATCGAACTTCATTTTCTGCACTTACGATGCTTTCTCCCTTCAGTTAAAAAAAAATCTCTTTCTTTGATCCGACAATCCAGTAAAAGAGAGTCGCATGAATTTTAAAAGCAATGTTTTATAATATTCGATGCGGGCCAGTTTGTTGAACGTCTCATCGGGATGGTTTCTGAGTCACGAGTTGTATTCGCTCAACGTTAGTCACGAACAATTTAATTAGAATTATCTGCCGGTTAAAAGAGGAGGAGGAAAATACGAGCGAAGAAAATGTTCGAATCGATTTATTTTTTTTCGTTTGATAGTATTCGCGTTATATGGTAAAAAGATGTTGTATTGATGAATTTAACATATTTATCCGAAGAAACTTCTTCTTTAATTCTTACTTCATAATTTTGATGAAATTAAATAAAGATAAAAATTATATGGATAAAAGTTAAATAAATTTCTTTCTTTTCTTATTTTTTTTTCTTTTTTTTTTTCTTTTTTTTTTAATTATTATAAAATTATATTTCAATTATATCTGAAAGATATAATAAAATTATATTCAACAATATCTCTAAATTGAATCTATAAAATATTTTTGAATTGAATCTGTAAAATGAGATATTTAAAAAAAATATAAAAAAAATTTATGTCTCGAAATTATATTTAGAATAGAAATTAATTTAACATCATATTTACTAAAATGGAGAAGACGATAAGGTTTTCGAATACTAGAAAGTAGGTGAACAAAAAATATCTTCCAAATTCCGGAAGTTCTCTCGTAGAATGTGCGGCAAACGATAAGGGCCAATTCGAACGAACGATTTTGCGGCATGAGCCGCACGGCAAAGTGCCAGACAACTTTTACTTTCACCTTTAAGGAAACGTACGGGCTCGTTACGGCAAGCTAACTTTATGCCACGATTATAATGCGCTGATTAATTTCGAAATCTTTTATAGAACTCACACATTTCCTTCGTTTTTTCTTTTACATGATTTCTTATTTCTCTCTTTCATTCTTTCTTTCTTTCTTTATTTTTCCTTTTTTCTTCTTTTCTTTCCCTTTAATTCAATGCGAGACGAATTTTTTTTCACGATCGATACTCGTTTTAGGAACGCACAAAAATTCTTCCAAGGTTCCATATGAAAAGTGGAATTTCATAAACGTTCTCTCCTAAACTCTTGTCCCGTCGCAAAGAAAATCCAAATTTAGACGGTTGCTTACGTGCCGTCTGTAAAACGACGTTAAGTCGTTGTTACGACCCTCGAACGATTTGCCCCCTCCCCCATAAAAAACAATATTTTTAAATTAAGATACGATTAAATAGTTGCAAATTGAAAATGCAATTTAACGTTTGAAACTGAAACGAATGAAATTTTCAATAGAGAAGAATTAATATTGAGATCGATCGATTATCTCTGTGATATCGATACTTTGTGATTTAATGAAAACAATTTTCGTTAAAAGCTTCCTACAAGAAATATTTCGCGGAAATGTTTACAAATATTCTATTGTTCGACGAAGACAACGAAGTTTGAAGTTTGAAAAACGCCGAGAGAAACACAACCTGTTAAAAACGTAGAGGAAACGTACATACGTAAACAACTTATCAGTGGAACTTTGTAACATCCTGCGGGATAAGAGTATCGAGGCTATCCTAAAAGGATGACAGGAAAAAGTCTTGATAAGTGAAGAGAAGCCGAGAACGATTTCTGCAAACAACTTTCGGACAAAGTGACTCAACGTTGGCGTCGACGTTACACTCGCATCGATTGGCGTCTTATGCATTTTAGGAATGCGAGAGAAAGGAGAAAGAGAAACATAGAGAGATAGATAGAAAAAAGAAAGAAAGAGAGAGAGAGAAAGAGAGAGAGAGAGAGAGAGATAAAAAAAAAGAGAGAGAAGGAGAGAGAGAGAGAGAGAGAGTTAGAAAAGAGAGAATTTTAACGTTTCCTTCCTAGTAAGCCGCAAGCATCATTTTACAATAATGTACATGTGTATGCACGTTTAAATGATGTACACAATCAAACGAACATGTCCGTTCGATATGACGATTACACTTATACTTGTTACTTATTGTTGATGCTTTCACTGCCATTCTATAGCCAGGAATCACGCGAGTTCAGGACGCGCACCTTTCTCAACGTTTTCGTGACATAACCATGAATAATCGCATGGAAAGCAAACTCTTCACTCTTCTTTTTTATTTCTGTTTTTTTTTTTTCATTTTTCTTTTTTTCTAATCTGACCGACATCCCATTTGAATAAAATCATTTTCATGTGTATTATATCTATTATTCTATAAAAAAAAAAGTTTTCAATTTTCTCTTCACGATACATGTATATATAATACTTGGTTTATTTATATAATATAATATATATATATATATATATATATATATATATATATAAAAGAAGTGAAAAGAATTCATTAATAAAAAATAAAGATATAACAATTGTTATAATACGTTAATAATTCCAGGTGAACTTCGACATTAATAAAAAGTGACGAACATTGTGTTAATTATCGCGCGACATATCTTCATTTGTCCAATCAAGCGAAAATGATTTAAAAGACAAGTTAATGGCGTAGTTTCTCTTTCGCGAATGATGAACCCACGCGCTTTATATTCGTTTCTTCCTCTGTCTGTCTGTCTCTTTCTCTCTCTCTCTCTCTCTCTCTCTCTCTTTCTCTTATTTTTTCTTTCTCTATCTGCCTTTTTGTCTGCAATAAGAAGGAAGGTAATTTCTGTCATTGTTTACGTTGGCAAAAAATGGTCAATGAATCATAAGACTGACAATCGATTTTCTAATGTATTGCTTAACGTTTGCACTTTGATAAGTTTCTAAATTTAATCAATTTTTTGTATTCGATATTTCAAATCAATCGTGCCATTTAAATGATCAGTCATTTATCAATGTTTATTAGTAATTAAATTTGTTCATTATAATTAAATACTCGATTGTTTTTTAATGAATGAAAAATGTTCGTCATCGTGAATTTTTTAATCACTGTACCGAGATTTCCTACCTTATCGGCAATTTCTCTGTTCCGTAAGAAATGTCAGATATCAATATATGTTATCGACTGAACATATTATCCGGTGTATTACCATAATCTAAGAATTCTCAAGTGCTGACATCAAACCTTTAAAAGGGAAATAATCTTATCGCACGTGTTTGATAGTTAACATTTAAATTTAAATTGTTTTTAAGTTTTAACTTTCGAGTATTTAAATTAATCAGATAACATTGAAGAAAATTTATTTCTATGTTTTAGTTCGTAAGAAAAAAAAAAAAAAAAAAAAAAAAACAAGAAAAAAAATGAAAAAAGAAAAAAGTATTATGAATAACATTTTAAATTGAATTTCAATAGGTTACAGATATCATGATTTATTCTGAATGAAATATATGCCCTGAGACGAACGAACACGTTTAGATTCTTCGATCTAACAACTATTAATACATATATATATATATATACACACACACACATACACACACTATTATAGTATATTGGAGAACGATATAGCCTGAATCGAAAGTAGCGCCGCAAATAATTTTCAATTTAATCTGGTTTCATGAACCATTGTGGATAGCAAGAACGTGTAAATTACATCGCCTTGAGTTTTCGCCATTGGTGAAATAACGTTGGGGTTGATTAATGTCATCCCGTAAAAGGGAAACAATTCCTTTCTGCATTGTCCGATACCGACGTGCCGGCCGGCTTGAATGTGCTGGCCGGCGTGGCGATGCAATGGCGGACATTGTTACGTTATAAAAGGAAATCGATGCTCAAACAGCGGGAAGTTTCTCATCAGTCTGTTAATTAAACGTTAATAGAAAGAACAAGACGTTGCTTAGTCGACAATATGCCAAATAATACCAATTGCCTTTAAATACGAAAAAAGGATAAACAGTGGATATACGTAAATATACATATATATATATATATATATATATATATATATATATATATTTCCTCTTTCTATTTTTTTTTTTATTTTTTATTTTCCTTCTTTTATTTGCTACGTAACCTAACTCATCCAATTCAACTACGTCCTATTTTCATAATATATATTTTTCTTTTTTCTTTTCATGCATTTTCATTATGCTAATCTACGTCTCGCGGAGAGGAGCTTTTTAATTATCGGGAAGAGCATAGCAACGTCGTCGTTTTCGAGGTGTAGGACAGTTGTAAAGGTACCAAGCGATATCCGCTATATATATATATATATACATTCCGTGAAAGAAGGATCGCAAGCGTGCGTTTTATGACCGGTGCTAGTGATAGTGGGGGTAGCGCAATGCGGCTGCCCTCTCTTGCATCCCGGAGAATCCAAGCGACCAGTATGGTAGATATCCAATAAGTATTTAATTGTTTCAAATCTTTCGAAATCTTCGTCCGTTGTTAAATTGGACGTGTGTGTTTTGTCGAAGACACGTGCGAAAAAAAAAGAAAACAAAACAAAACAAAAAAGAAGAAAAAGAAAAAGGAAATCGAAGGAACATGTGTAATAAGAATGGAAATAGGATAGAATATATTTTTTTAACGATAATAATAATAATAATAATAATAATAATAATAATAATAATAATAATAATAATAATAATAATAATAATAATAATAATAGTAATAGTAATAGTAATAATAATAATAATACTGATAATGATAATAATAATAATAATAATAATAATAATAATAATAATAATAATAATAATAATAATAATAATAATAATAATAATAATAATAGTAATAGTAATAGTAATAATAATAATAATACTGGTAATGATAATAATAATAATAATAATAATAATAATAATAATAATAATAATAATAATAATAATAATAATAATAATAAAAGCAAATTCAAGATTTTTATTATTCCTTCGTCGTTATCAAAGAAGATAATCGTTTAACCTATTAATTGTCTTTGACGAATATATTCGTCATAATGAGATGGCTATTTATTGTCATGACGTATGCACCCGTCCATCCGAAAGAAAGAAAATTATCTTTTGCTATTTAAATTGATATTTTAATGAAAATTAAAAAGTATTCAGGTAAATTTAAGATATTTTAGAATATTTCGAAACGATAATGAAATACATATAAAAAAAAAGGAAAGAGGAAAAAAGAAAGAAAGAAAGAAAGAAAGAAATCCATTAGACGATAGTTATAGCAATTATAAAGGTATTTTTTTTTGTTTTTATGAAAATGAATCTAATCTAACGAACAAAACAAATTTGACGTAGAGATAACAATATGTAATACAGAGAGTTAGAAATAGAATCTTAAGAGAAAGAGAGAAAGAGACAGAGAGAGAGAGAGAGAGAGAAAGAGAGAGAGATAGATAAAGATCGAAACATTTTAGCATAATCGCGTAAATACAGTTATTAATAATTGAAACGAAATTCCAGAAAAAAATTTTCCATAATCGCGTAAATACAGTTATTAATAATTAAAACGAAATTCCAGAAAAAAAGTTTCCCTTTCTTTATTTCTACCCGTCTCAAAAAGCTTTTGAATCAAAATCCTTATTAATTCCCGTTTAAACGTCCTCTTCACCTCAGATAGACAGACAGACACATTCCCCCTATTCCACCCTAAACAGGCAGACAGACAGACACACCCACACCACAAACAGGGCGGAACGGAATGGTCCTCTCTTGTCCTGTCTTGTCTTCTATTAGGCGTTCTCCCATATTACCATTAAACGAGGGGTTGAGATCTGAAATTTCACAGAATGATGTTTCAGACAAAGAACGTCGTTTAGTAATCAATAACAACAAGGATTGACACTTGGACAACCTTATGTATACGCTTATCCTGGTCGATTCTTTGTAAATATAATATTTTATCGATCGTACCACGTGTAATTATTTCCAAGTAATGGAGAATTTTTTCTTTCTCATTTTTTTCCTTATATATAATTATATTTATTATTTATATATGTTATATATATATATATATATTATTTATATTTTTTTATTTTCTTAAATATTATAAATACAACGATATATTATATTTTTGTATATTTTTATTAAAATATTAATTTAAATGGCAAAAGTTTATTTCTCTCTTTGCGTGTACAAATATATTAAGTTAACACAATTAATATGTTAACTTTTGTCAACATCGATAAATTTGTGTTTGAAAATTATTGATCCATCGAAAAGCCAAATGTCATTTTATTTCTCAATTTAATTCAATTTTATTACAGCTGCCGTATATTTATTATACTTTATTATTGTTGATGAGTACATTCGTCATACTTTAATTTTTTTCTTTTTTTTTTTTTTTATACAACGGAGATAAACATTTTTAAAATAGACCAACACAGGTTAAAGAGCAGACCTTTTTAAATACACTCTCACGGCCTCTTTTTAGACTCGGTATCCACTCTAGTTGGCCCTTCTTGAACCGTCCACAGTATTACACTTATCTTTCTAACACGTGACAATGCATACTGACGCTTCATAAATCTTCAACGATTTATTATACGAATTTTTATCGAATTATTTTATCATATCGATTCGTTACATGATCGCCGGACATACATACGTATACATATATTGGTCGACCTATCGATGTTATCTGGCATCTATGTTATTCGAAGACATGATGCCGATATTTGATATATACACACGCATATATACATACGTATGTATATATGTATACATTTATATATATATATATATATATACCCACAGTCCATAGTCTTTTTATCATGGTAATACGTATATATGTACGTATGTAACACATCGATATGATGCAGCCAATGCAGAATACATATAAATCGACATTTGATTTACTTTTCGGATCGGAGCCGAATCGGCTTTCTTTTTTTTGTCTCTCTCTTTCCCCTCCCCCTTACCACCTCACTCTCTCTCTCTTTCTCTCTTGTCGAAATAAATAAATACAAGCAAACGTTTTGTTTTCTACGATAGCATATAAAAATACATACTTACCTACACCGATTAATTTCGAAAGAAGTATTATACATATGTATATGCTTAGATTTATCGTAAGAGAGAATATTAAGTAGTTCGAAAGCAGACGAGTTCGATTTAAATAGCCACAGCTTCGAAAGGAGTTTAATTGGAACATTTTCGAAGGCAAACAAAACCGGTTTCCTCGTGATTTACCGACTGAAATCAAATTCAGGCGAGTGTTTAATTATAAATCTTATTATGTACGTATGATAACGAGCAAGGCGTTTCATTATTTCATATTTCTCTCTCTCTTTCTCTCTCTCTCGTCTCATAAAAGAATCTTATACGTATAGCATGAAAAATGGAATTGAAAGAAGGAAAAAGATGAGAAAAAAAAAGAAAAGAAGAAGAAGAAGAAGAAGAAGAAAAAGAAAGAAAGTAAAAAAAGAAAAAAGAAAAGCAAAAAAGAATATAAAAGGAAGAAAATTTGATCGTCGCGTATTGATCGAACCGCGTAGTATAGATAAATAAGATACGGATATATACCTACACATTCGAATAACGTATTATAGTGAATAGCTTTCCCATTGGAGAGTGAATCTAATTAAATGGGTCGTTTCCCTCGATCTCTTCCATCTCGATCTCGCGTTTAAATCGTTTACTCGAAACCGATCGTCGTACACGGCTAATACATAGACAGATACGTATATACGTAACAATCAGAGTATCGTAATAGAAGTCAAATTTCAAAGGAATAGAGAATGATACAATCATGCTCGACCCAATGGAAATAAATAGTTATCACGTCTCTCGATAGAATCAGATTTAATTTCTTTTCGAATCTCAGTTAACAGGGAGGAAAATTTTTTTAGATTCATCAAAAGGTTTTCATCGGCTGTGAAACAGTTAGAAAAAAGAGAGCGAGAGAGAGAGAGAGAGAGAGAGATAGAGAGAGACAGATTGAAACGAAACTCTTCTGATAGCGTGTCACATCTGGGTTATTAAAAATTCTCCGATTGAGAGACCCGATTAAAAAGCTAGCCGAGTTCCATTTTGAAGTTTTGTCATCCGGGTGCCAGCTTGACGAAGTGCCATATAAACACATATTTATACATATATTTATATATGCATATATATATGTACATATGTTAATATGTATATGATATGTATATACATATAATATGTATATGCTGTGTATATATATATATATATATCCGCAAGAAGTGTTCGACAATGCGTGGTAGATTTCGTCGGCCTCGTTCTTTTGATCTCCGATCTGCATCTGTGATAGTAACATTCAGCCACAGTGGCGTGAAAAGTTGCTCGTTCCATACCCCCTCTCCTCTTTACTCACTAGTACCACTACTTACCTGAGATCCCACTTCTTTCTTTCCGAATTCTTCCTTCTGTAGCTCTTTTTCTCTTTCCTTTTGGAACCACATCCCTTAGCAGTATCCCCTTTTTCTATAGTGCTCACAGTATCAACGTACTACTATCTTCTTTTCCTTTTTCTTCTTCTTTACTTTTATCTCTCTTTCTATCTCTCTCACTCTCTCTCTTTCTCTCTCTCTCTCTCTCTCTCTTTTTCTCTTTCTCTCTCTCTCTCGGTCGCTTGCTCGCTTGCTTTCTCGCTTCTCGGTGAAACGAGTATCCCCACTCCAAGGTACCATACTGGCGTATCGAACGCCTCGTGACGTCATTGAACTTTCTGTGACGTCATGCCAGTGACGCTCAGCTTACGAATGGAACGCCACGAATCCTTCGAATCCTTTCGAGAAACGTGTCATCGTCCGCTAGAATATCTCTGTACTCTCTCTCTCCCTCACTCTTTTTCTCTCTCTCCCTCTCTCTCTCTCTCTCTCCTCTCTCTCTCCCCACGCCTTTATCTCTCACTCCATCTCTCTTTTCTCGTCTTTTAATTTAATTTCATTTTACAATGTCTTTTTAATTTAGTTTGTATCTTATGTTTTGATATTACTATGAATACAAATAAATAAATAAATAAATAAGTAAATATTGAATTTATTCAATTTATCATTGGATTAATAAAAATTCTCTAATATATGATTAGATTAGATTATATCGTATTATAAAGATAAATTTATAAATTATATATAATTGATTTAGTTTCATTCATTTGAATTTTTCTTTACTCTATTCTTTCAATTTTGTTTATTGTCTTTTCGACAAAAAAATCTTATAGACGCAAACATTTTTTTTTTTCGATATCATTAAGAATATAAATAAATAAATATGTATATGCGCATGTTTTATTTCTATTTATTCCTAGTAATTTATATGATGAACGTAAAAACTATACGATTTAATTTCATTCATTAGATTTTAGCTTACTTCATCTTTTAAATTTAATTCTTATATACATTCTTATTATTCGTTATTATTATATATATATATACATATATATAAATAAATAAATAAATATATATATATATATATATATAACTTATTCAATATAAAGCTCATAATATTTATTACTCGATATTATTATATAAATATAAATGAATAAGTTATATATATATATATTTATTTAATTTATAGCGCGTAGTATTTATAAATTTAAACTATCAGTAAACTATTAATCTTTTTTGGTTTTTTTTTTAAAGCGATTCTATATTCTTTTTTCTTTCATCTGTCGATATTTGTAAAAAAAATACGAATTAATCAAAAACACATAAAGGTCATATTCTCTTAAAAAGATTCGTGTGTTTACTAACTTGCCTATTAACAAGACTCATACTACCATTTCATTCTACTTTCAGGGAACTTAATGAACGACTTTTAACCACGTTATCGCTTATACTTGATTATTAACGAGAAACTTCGGTCGTTGAATGGCAGTGAATTCTACTCTTCTAACGAAGAAAT